GGTGGGGTTAATCCCACTGGGTTACCTCTCTCGTGGCAGACTGATGCGCGGCTGCTTGGGGCAGCGTTTGCTCAGCGTGAACAGCTTCCTGATGATCTTCTGCGCCTTCCCCAACACCACCGCCACGCTGGACTCCAGCTGGGCGTAGCGTTTCTGGAGGGAGGTGTCAGCGGACCAGAACTTGGCGATGGTGGACACGTTCAAGAAGTGGTCAGTGGGCAAGTACTTCATGAAGGATTTGAATTCATCTGGAGGGAAAAGAGACGGAGAAATGAGAAATGAAAGCTGAGGCATTCAAACAAAAAGAAAATTAACAGAACTGGATTCTTTTAATTCATTTTTAATGTAACAATGGGTGCGGAGCGTCGCAGCCGTGTTTCCAGCAGGCGACTTCATCTCCAGAGACTGGTGAAGATAATGACCGCAGAGCTGTGGGATTTTCATGTGTAAAAGAGCTGTGATGTCGGAATGAACCGCCGTCACAAAGGAAACACCTGGGCTCCAACACGTGGCTACATTTCTGACAGTGTTAGAGGCTCGTTAGACTCAGACCAGCTTTGTTTTCAACGCTGTGATGCCGTCATGTGGGGTTTAAATCAGAATCATTAACGCAAAAAAAAGAAGTCATCTGCATTGAAACCATCTCTGAAGAGCCGAGGTTTTTCCCAGGTTACTGAACGCACCACACACTGATAATGTGGGATTGGAACCTGAGACTAAAAAAACCCAAGACAAAAACTTAAGATAAGTTGCACGACACAAAACAAATAATGGACTCCATAACTAACACCCAAGACAGATAGTTTTCACCACGGTGTTTGTTCTGTGTTTATTTTAAACTCTCTTTACTCATTACACACAAAAATATCAATTCTTCACTTTTTTTTTCAGGCTACGCATAAACATCGTAAATTTTCTTGCTCCGTTTTTGATCTAAAAATGTTACGTCGTTTGATGTATGCTCTTAACTGGTCGCATTTATTTACTTTTTTCTTTACTGCATGAAATGTAATGAAAAGCCATTAATACGTATCGTAGACACTGAAACGGCCACGTAATTAGCTACGCCCTAAAACCGCTTCGTTGTGCAAAATATCGACCGAATGAGTTCTTTATCTCCTTGGTGAAGCTGTTTAGACAGTTTTTCAGTTGCTAAAGTCTAAAGTCAACTTTCTTTTTGTTTCTTTTGTCGTGATTTTACAGTTTCACTGCCTTAAAGACGAGCAGACAGGTGGACCCTCGGCTGCTGCTGCTGCTGCTGCTGCTGTTGCTGTCGCTGTGGGCATGTAGGTCAGGTCAGCGACGGCAGAACATACATTATCATCATCCGGGAAATGAGGCAAGGCAGTGACCACAAGGTTACAGCAGAGCGAGCACTCCGTCTAAACCTCTGTCAGATTAGCCTGTCAGAAATATATATGAAAAAATATGACCAGGATCTGTCCACGGTAAATGCCTCATCATCGAGGGTCGGTGTCGTTACAAGGTTGGTGTGAAAAAACTGGGCGGAGCCTCAGTGAGCGTGTCCTGCTACTCTGTAAAGAGAAATACGACAGAACTCACTGATCCCTGATAACCAAAAAAAAAAAACATTCTGATTCTCCGTCTTTTATTGTCCCTCTCCAGTGTCTCTAGTGTCTGTCATTTCCTTGAATATATTCTTCCTGTTTCCTGTTCTTTTGGTTCACACACTGTACTTGTCATAATCTTCTCCTCCGTGTCTCCTCTGTCTCACTTCACTACCAATCATTCCCCCCCCCACCACCCCTC